TTTGCTCTTGTTACCCAGGCTGGAGTGCAATGGCGCGATCTCGGCTCACCACAACCTCCGCCTCCTGGGTTCAGGCAATTCTCCTGCCTCAGCCTCCTGAGTAGCTGGGACTACAGGCACGTGCCACCTTGCCCAGCTAATGTTTTGTATTTTTAGTAGAGACGGGGTTTCACCCTGTTGACCGGGATGGTCTCGATCTCTTGACCTCGTGATCCACCCACCTCGGCCTCCCAAAGTGCTGGGATTACAGATGTGAGCCACCATGCCCGGCCTCACAGCAATTGTTCTTAAACTTCACCGTGTACTTAGGGATTACCCATGAACACTGATAAAAGGCAGATTGTAGGGCTCTGACATAGCACATTCTGATTCTTTTATGTGCTGACTGTTGCCCAGGAATCCGGGTTTTCAGTAAGCATCCTGAGTGATTCTAAGAAAGATGGTCCTGGAACCCCACGGAGACCCACTTTCTTGTTGGGTTGTATCAGATATACATGACTTGATTTTTTCTTTTATTTATTTATTTATATTTATTTATTTATTTATTTTTTGAGATGGAGTTTCACTCTTGTTACCCAGGCTGGAGTGCAATGGCGCGATCTCAGCTCACCGCAACCTCCGCCTCCTGGGTTCAGGAAATTCTCCTGCCTCAGCCTCCTGAGTAGCTGGGATTACAGGCATGCGCCACCATGCCCAGCTAATGTTTTGTATTTTTAGTAGAGACGGGGTTTCACCATGTTGACCAGGATGGCCTCGATCTCTTGACCTCGTGATCCACCCGCCTCGGCCTCCCAAAGTGCTGGGATTACAGGCTTGAGCCACCGCGCCCGGCCCTTTTCTTTTATTTTTCAATGACACTCAAGCAACGGCAACGCGAACAATTTTAAGTACTCTCCAACATGTGTCTAGGAACCAGCAGTGGAATATATTTTACACAAAGAGTAACAGAGTAGTTTTATGCCATAAGACAAAAGTTCCTGGCTCCTGTCCTAGAATAATGTACTATTGTTTAATTGATTAACTGGTCGACGCTAACCAAAAAAAGAGAAATATGCACAGAATTAGAGAAATACTGTCCAGAAGGATGGAGTCTAGCGGTGCCTGGAATTTTGAAAATCATCAATCAGAGTAATAATTTTAAATGTGCCACAAAGTAATACCATAATCCAAATAAGTTATACATCCATTTGCTTAACTTTCATCCATGAAAACCTTTATATAATTACTGCTTGTTCTTTTGAAATCCTTTCCTACTGTGTAGTTTGTAAAAGCTCAAAATAGATCAAAAGTAGTTGTAACCCTATTCACTTCCGTAAACACAAAACTCTGTTAAGGCTTTTAGGTGAAGTAAGCCCAGATATAGGCTATGTTCTGTCACGGGTGACTAAAATAAAAATTCAGCCTAAGGAAACTCCTTTTGCAGACCTTATTGGTACTACAGAAAGTACAAAAGTTAGCTGGGCGTGGTGGCACACAGAGACTGTAACTCCATGCTGCCTGTTCTAAGTTGCACTATGTTCCCGACACGCATCTTTAATGGTTTAAAATGGTATTTCAATTTTTCCTTCACTTTGTATGCTCTGCCAGCCGTATGCTTCCTCTGCAAGTTTCCAAAGTGAAGAAAATGAAAAAATCTTTTTTTCTAATACTGTATTAATAGAGAAATCTAGATTTTTGGATTAATATTCTTTAATAAGAATTTTTTTTGAGACGGAGTTTCGCTCTCGTTACCCAGGCTGGAGTGCAATGGCGCGATCTCGGCTCACCGCAACCTCCGCCTCCTGGGTTCAGGCAATTCTCCTGCCTCAGCCTCCTGAGTAGCTGGGATTACAGGCACGCGCCACCATGCCCAGCTAATTTTTTGTATTTTTAGTAGAGACGGGGTTTCACCACGTTGACCAGGATGGCCTCGATCTCTTGACCTCGTGATCCACCCGCCTCGGCCTCCCAAAGTGCTGGGATTACAGGCGTGAGCCGCCGCGCCCGGCAGTGGTGTTACATTTTCAAAGAGCTCAAATGGATTACTTTTATGAAGTTTGGGGCAAATGAATTATACGTATATATGACCCTCCCTCAACACCCAGAAGGTATGTGGACACGCAGAATTCAAAAGTCTGAGGGTGACTGCTCAGGGGTGAAGGGATGCTCTTTGAGGAGGAAGGCAGGACATTCAATAACAGCGGCTGGCAACCAAAGAACTAAACTTTAACGCAACAAAGGGGAGTCGGTCTCCCTGCGACCACAGGCATCCAACCCAGGAACAGCTGGCTCCACCTGGAAGGCCCAGGTGCGGCTGGAGGGGGACTGAAAGGGTCAGACCACGGGATTGTTCTCAACTTTGGGCTTTTACACAGCAGTTTCGAAGACAAAGGGGTTTTTCAGCTAGGCATGGTTTACCGTCCCCCTCCTCCCAGGCCCAGGCTTGGTCCCAATGTCCCAGCAATGCTTGGGACATCCCTCACTTCGCTCCTTTTTCTTGGGGCCACTGCCCACCCCTAGGTTGCCTGCTGTCCCTCCTAGAGAGACGTGGATGGCTGTGACATTCCAGCGAGGACAAAGGGAGGGCTGAGGGGGCAAAGACGCCCTTCTAAAGTCCCACCCCGGAAAGGCATCCCACTACGCCCACCCGTGGGGCGCCCTCGGGCTGCAGCCTTCGCCCGAGCCTCCTCCCTTCGCCCCGCCCCTCGGCACGGGGACGTGCGCTGTGCGCCGACGCTCTCTGATTGGCTGCTGTGCGGCCGGCGCTCTCTGATTGGCTGCTGTGCGGCCGGCGCTCTCTGATTGGCTGCTGTGCGGCCGGCGCTCTCTGATTGGCTGCCGCGTCAGGGTTCCACGCCGCCATTGTGCCGTGGGCGGCCGTCAGCGCCTGCGTGCACACGGTGGGGCACGGGCTTCGGGAGTTGCTGGAAGTCGGAGGCGGGGGAGAGGTCACTCGCAGCGAGTGCGGGCGGCGGCGGGCACAAAGTTGAGAGCAGTCCCTAGTCCGAGTGTTTCCGTCGCCCTCCAGCACCCGCCGGTACCACGGACTCCACCCTGCGGCGGCTCCTCGGCGACGCGGTGCAGCTGCCACTTGACCAGGTGGGCTCAGGTACCGTGAGGCACCCAGGCGTCGGGCACGCGCCCTCGCCGCCCTTTGCGGCCGCGGTGCCGCCAGACCGGGGACCTGGGAGGGGGGTGGGGACTGGGGCCTGCCGTCCCTGGAAGGGACGGGAAGACAAGCCTGTCCCGGTGACCTCTCGCTCCCACCGCCCTCGCAGCGCACGTCCTGCCCCGGCGTGCCCCCCAGACCCCCTTCCGCCGCCCAGGGCCGTGGTGGTCCCGGGGTTGGTGCCGGCGATAGCCCCGGGGAGGGTCTTCGTGTAGACTTGAGGGTGTGCGTGCTGGTCCCTGCCCTCCGCCGCAGCGGGGCTGAGACTCAGCGGTTGGGTCCCCTCGGGTGCACAGGCTGGGTTGTAGACGGAGCGGAAGGCTGTGTTCTGAAGAGGCTGGCGTGGTGGTGCCTGCCCGGCAGGTGGCTCTGAACGACCCCCGGAAAGGCTGATGCGCGGGTCTAGGTGTGAACGGTGCATTAGAGATGGCGCTGGTGGGTGCGAGGGGCACAGAGAAGCTCAAGTGCTACTGCACTTTGGGGACAGTTTGCATTGGAGTGTGGTTTAAGGGAGACAGAGGCAACAGTTTCGGGGAAGGCAGAGGTTATGAAGAAAAGTGAGAGAGAGTTATCCCCAGGATTCTAGCTGAGAACGTTGCAGCCTTGTAGATAGAAGCAGCCACCCTTACCTCCTGGCCCAACCCTCAAAAAGCACTTGGCAGCGTTCAGGGAAGGGTGGCATTTAAATGAGGCCAATTGAGTTTGATGGTTAAAGGGCCTAAGGATTACCGAGAAATCAACAATATTGTGATGGAAAAAGCAGCGCCATTTTTATTCAGCAAAGAAAGCTTGGAAATATTTTGTTGGGAGAATTCAGCATAAGATTTAAGGAAGTTGTTGATGCCGGGTGTGGGAGGTAGAGTTAGGTGATTGCTTCAGCCCCGAGCTAAAGGTGGTTGACTTTGGAAATTTTGCTTACAATTATTTGTAGAATACTTAACCTAGAAGTAAGTGTTCGCACTTTACAAGGGATACTGGTTCACTGTCCTTAGCTGGAATGTGCGTATGTTGTGTAGTCTTAGGGGATTTCATTTATAATACAGATTCTCTCTTACCCAAACTGCTTTTCCTAGCAGCAAGCTGGAAACCTGACATTAGGGTACAGGCTGCCTTGCACTTTATTCTTTATATAAACTTATGTGGAACGAGTGTCAAATAAAAAATAATTAAACAGAAAAAAGTAAATAATTCTGCCTTCTCTTAAAATCTCTTATTGCGGTCATCTCCACCTATCTTTAACAGCAGTTATAATGTGTATCCTGTGAATAAAGTATTGGTAGTGAAATTAATCGTGTATTTGAAGAAAATACTATTCTCTGTTTATTAATCAATTGATCAGAATTTAGTGTTTTTCATCTGCTCAGCCCTGTGAAAGATCATCGCTGTTTTCCACCCTGACATGCAGTGTAGCATGTCACACTCCTGATTTAAACAGGCTGCTGCCAGTGTATCAGCAAATGCAGGGTAGGTGTCTGTAAAGAAAACATATTGCTGACGAGGAGCAAGGGAGATAGCCATATACATTTACATTTCTTTTTTTCTTTTTTTTTTTTTTTGAGACGGAGTTTCGCTCTTGTTACCCAGGCTGGAGTGCAATGGCGCGATTTCGGCTCACCGCAACCTCCGCCTCCTGGGTTCAGGCAATTCTCCCGCCTCAGCCTCCTGAGTAGCTGGGATTACAGGCATGCACCACCATGCCCAGCTAATTTTTTGTAGTTTTAGTAGAGACGGGGTTTCACCATGTTGACCAGGATGGTCTCGATCTCTTGACCTTGTGATCCACCCGCCTCGGCCTCCCAAAGTGCTGGGATTACAGGCGTGAGCCACCGCGCCCGGCTAAATTTACATTTCTTTTAGGGAGACCGGCATGTGTTCACGTTCTCTCTTTCTCTTCCCTCGTTCTTTTCTTTCTCCAAGTCCCTTGTCTGCCATAGGCTTACCCCTCCCTCCCGTGCCAAAATATTTTCTTTGTTATGCTAATAATACCTTTTAATTTATATAATGCTTATAACTTTTTAAAAGTGATTTCATAGTAATGAACTCATTTAAACATCTCAGCAACCAGAGAAAGTTCTTTTCAGTACTGAAATAATCAGGAGAACCGTGGGAAGGAGACAGGACTTAAAACTTTTTGACATGTCTTTCTTTGTTTAGCTGAAGGTCTTGAGTTTGTAGCTTGGGACTACTATAAATTTGTACAGACACGTATAGCCCTAATTTGTGTGGTACAGTTATGTAGTGCATAGTGCCAGTGAGGTCATCAGAGCTCATATATGATTTTGGTTCTATGGATTATAAGGGAGCTGAAACATTCCCATTGCCTAGTGAAGCTGTAGTATTCATAATTTCTTAGTTAC